GTCGGCGTCGCTGGGCGGCCCTCGGGTTTTGCGCGCGTGCGCCGGGTGCTGGCCAGCGACGGGGGTTCGAGATGGGGCTCTTCTCTCGGGCTCCGTCTCTCTCTCTGTCTCTTTCTCCGTGTCTCTCTCACTGTCTCTACGTCTCTGTCTCGCTGTGTCTCTTTGACTGTCTGTCTCTCTCGGTCTCTGTCTCTGTTTCTTTTCTCTCTGTGTCTCTGTCTATCTCTCTTGCTTCCCTCTGTCTCATGGTCTCTGTCTCTACTTCTCTATGTCTCTGTCTGTCTCTGTCTCTCTCTCTGTCTGCCTATATCTCTCTCCCTCTCTGTCTATGTTTCTGTCTCTCTGTCTCAATCTCTCTGTCTCTGTCTCTATGTCTCTGTCTCTGTGTCTCTGTCTCCCTATATCTCTCTCTCTGTCTCTCTATGTCTCTGTCTCTGTCTGTCTCCCTCTATCTCTCTCTGTCTCTCTCTCCCTGTCTCTCTCTCTCTGTCTCCCTATATCTCTCTGTGTCTCTATCTCTCTCCCTCTGTCTATCTCTCTCCCTTTCTGTCTCTCTATGTCTCTGTCTCTCTGTCTCCCTATATCTCTCTGCGTCTCTCTCTGTCTCTCTCCCTCTCTGTCTCTCTCTGTCTCTGTCTGTCACGGTCTCTCCCTCCCGCCTCCGAGCTGACAAAAAACGCCCTCCGATTGTTGATCTTTGTCTGAACAAAACGGTGTTTTAGGTTTGGGCTCGATTTCCCCCTTTTGCGCGTTTGGCTTCCCAGGTTTTTCTGGGACTTTGACCAAGTGGAACCCGGGATGTTAGCGCCCGACTTTCTGGGGAGGGGGCTGGGCGTGCTGGGGGCACAGATGGCGTCTCGCGACGTTGCCCCGCCTGGTCTCGCCAGGCCGGGCTCGAGCCGCCCTCCCGCTTTTGGTACGATGCAGGTTTTTGAGTTGGGGTCTTGCTGTGCGGGCCAGGCCAGCTCCCTCCTCAGCCTCCCAGGCAGCTGGCTTTTTGCCTGTCGAGATGGGGTCTGGCTATGCTGCCCCGTGGGTATCCAGCCGCCCCCACCGACTTATTTTTGTGTTTTTTTTCTGGCCGAGGACAGTGTTTGGGGGTTGTTTTTTTTTTTTTTTGGCTCAGGCGCATCTTAGGCGTTTTTCAAAGTAGGATTTTGATGGCGTTTTGGGAGGATTTTCTTATTTCCAGAAAGCGCCACCCGGCCGGGGCCGAGGCGACCAGGGACGGTGACGCGGTGTCTCTTCCCGCAGGTGGCTTTTCGGACGCGGATCTTCTGGACGGGACGTCAGGCGGGGAAGGTAGGGGACGCCGGGTCCAGGGGAAAAAAAAAGGGTGAAAAGTAGAGGCTGTCTCTGGGGTGGCTTTGCGCTCCAGCCTGGACAGCATAGTGAGACCCCAACTCAAAAAATAAGTAAAATAATAATTAATAATAATAATAACAACAGAGAATCACCTAGGAGTTCGAGGCCAGCCGGGCCCAGACAGCAAGACCCCAACTCACATAAATAAAAAGATAAAGAAAAATGCATACATGGAGTTTTGTCTCCCCTGTATAAATTCAGGACAGAGGTTCGAGGCGTGCGTGCTGATTTTTTACGTGCGCACGTGTGTGGGGGGGGTGAGTTTTTATTGTTCCAAACGAGATGGGCCTTTTGGCCTGTGTCGTTGTGTATTTTGGTGTGTTACGCACGGAATCGCCTGTACTGCGGGGTCGGCGGTCGTGTGTGATACGTGATCTACCGTGGCGTGGCGTGAATCATAGTGTATATTGTATGGAGAGTGTCGTATATTGTGGTATTTGCATAATATAATATATATGCTCATAAATATATGTTTATTAGAAATATATGTTGTATGTCTATGCCACAATATACAGTATTCTCTATATGTTTATATGTTTACATGTATTTCATATATACCACAATATATTATATATATGTGAATGTACATAGGAATACATGTAAATCGATATGTAAATCTATAAGTATAAATGTAAATCTATAAGTATAAATGTAAATCTATACGTATAAATGTAAATATATACGTATATATGTAAATCTATACGTATAAATGTAAATCTATACCTATATATGTAAATGTATACGTAAATGTGCAACTATATATGTAAGTATAAGCATATGTGTAAATATATAAATATATGTCAATATATAAATATATATGTAAATATATAAGTGTATATGTAAATATATAAGTATATATGTAAATATATAAGTACATATGTAAATATATAGGTATATATGCGAATCTATAAGTATATATGCAAATCTATATAAATCTGTGTATAAATCTATATAAATGTATATATAAATCTATACGCAAATCGATATAAACTTACATGTAAGCCGGGCTCGGTGGCTCAGCCCGTCATCCCGCGCCCTTGGGAGGCTGAGGTGAGTGGACGGCCTGAGCCCGCGGGTTCGAGACCCGCCTGGGCAGCGAGACCTCGTCTCCACAATAAATCAAAAAATCAGCCGGGCGTGGGAGCGCGCGCCTGTAGTTCCGGCTACTCGGAAGGCTGAGGCGGAAGGATCGCCGGAGCCCAGCGGGTCGAGGCTGCGGCGGCCGGGAGCGGCCACTGCACTCCAGTCTGGGCGACAGAGTGAGATGCCAACAAAAGAAAAAAAAAAAACCTACATGTAAATCTGCATAAATCTATTTAAATCTATATAAATGTCTATTTAAATCTATAAAAATCAGCGTAAATCTGTATAAATCTATATAAATACATATATTTATAACATATATACTCATAAATATGTTTATTAGAAATATAGTATAATGTATATACAATATATATTTACAAATATATATATATTTACAAGGAGTATTTATAACTGTATGATCGTGTGTGCATGTAATAGTGTTTTTTTAATAGATATGTTTTGAGTTGGGATCTCACTGTGTTGTCCAGGCTGCCGTGCGAGGGGCACGCTCCCGGCCACCCCTGCCTCGACCTGCCAGGCTCCGGCCATCCTTGCGCCTCAGCCTCCCGAGTAGCTAGAACGACGGGTGCACGCCACCACGCCAGGCTCATTTTTTGGATTGACCCTAGAGAGGAGGCCTGGCGAGTTGCCCGGGCTGGTCTCGAACCTACGGGCTCAGGGAATCCACGTGCCTCAGCCTCCGAAAGGGCTGGGACGACAGGCGTGAGCCACCACGCCTGGCTCCTTCTTTTTTTAGTTCTTGAACGACGGGGTCTGGCTCTGGGGCCCAGGCGGGTCTCGAACTCCCGGCTTCCAGCGCTCCTCCCACCTCAGCCTCCCAAGGAGCCAGAATGACGGGCGTGCGCCACCAGGAGGCGTGATAGAGGCGAGGTCTGGCTTTTGTCTTGCAGGCGGAGGCGGCGGCGGCGGCGGCGGCGGCAGTCCCAGGAAGGACGGCAAGGAGGGCGAGCAGGGTGTGTGCGTTGGCCCCCCCGGGAGGGTCCCTGTCTCCTCTGCTCTGCGAGCGGTGGGGAAGCCGGAAGGGTTGCCCTCGAGGCCCCTGCCCTGGCCCCTGGGGTGGGCCGGGTCCCCTGGAAGCCGAGGATGGGGCGGACATGGCCTCCGGCGTGCGATGGGGCTTTTCTCCCTTTGAGACTTCTTGGTTTTGTTTCTATTTTTTATTTTTAGAGGTAGGGTCTTGCTATGTGGCCCAGGCTGGGCTCGAACTCCTAGCCTCAAGCAATTCTCCCGCCTTGACCTCCCAAAGTGCTGGGACGACAGGCGTGAGCCACCACGTCCAACTAATTTTTTAATTTTTCTTTTTTTAGAGATAGGGTCTTGCTATGTGGCCCAGGCTGGGCTCGAACTCCTGGCCTCAAGCAATTCTCCCGCCTCGACCTCCCAAAGTGCTGGGACGACAGGTGTGAGCCACCACGTCCAACTAATTTTTTAATTTTTCTTTTTTTTTTTTTTAGAGATAGGGTCTTGCTATGTGGCCCAGGCTGGGCTCGAACTCCTGGCCTCAAGCAATTCTCCCGCCTCGGCTTCCCAAAGTGCTGGGATGACAGGTGTGCACCACCATGTTTCCCCCCGCAGAGGACGCCCCCGGCGTGATTCCTGGGATCGTGGGGGCCATCGTGGTGGCCGTGGCCGGCGCCGTTTCTAGCTTCATTGCCTACCAGAAGAAGAAGCTTTGCTTCAAGGAGAACGGTAAGCCGCCCGTGGCGGAACTTTGGGAGGCCGGGGGTCCGAGACCCGCCTGGGCAACACAGCAAGACCCCGTGTCAACCATAAATCCAAAAAAGAGCCGACCCCAAAGGACGTGATTTCATTCCTTTTCATGGCTGCGTCGTATTCCTCGGAGCTGAAAGCTGGGCCCCCCCGGGCGCGAGTTTGGGGGGAACAGACCCCGGCGAGTCCCAAGTCGGGGCGGGGGGGGACAGAGGCGGGCGGACTCCATGGAAGACCCAGTTCTTTATTAAAAAGTCAAGAAACGAGCCGGGCTCGGTGGCTCAGCCCGTCGTCCCGCGCCTTTGGGAGGCCGAGGTGAGTGGCTGGCCTGAGCCCGCGGGTTCGAGACCCGCCTGGGCAGCGAGACCTCATTTCTACTTTTTAATGTGACCGCGAATTCACGCAGGACGATGGCTTCCAGCTGCATCCAAGTGGCCGCCAAAGACACGATGGCGTATTTCTTTTTCACGGCTGCGTAGTATTCCGCGACAGAGAGGGATCTTTTTTTTTTTTTTTTTCTAATCCCCGACCGATGGGCAGCTAAGTTGGGGCCGTGATTTTGCTCGTGTAAGGAGGGCTTGGTGGACACAGCCCACGAGCGTTCGCTTTTCTCCACAAACTCTCTCCCATCTGCTGTTTCTTGACTTTTTTTTTTTTTTGAGTCGGGGTCTCACTCGGTCGCCCAGACCGGAGCGCGGTGGCCGCTCCCGGCCACCGCAGCCTCGACCCGCCGGGCCCCGGCGATCCTTCCGCCTCAGCCATCCGAGTAGCCCGAACTACAGACGCGCGCTCCCACGCCCGGCTGATTTTTTGATTTATTGTAGAGATGAGGTCTCGCCACGTTGCCCAGGGCGGGTCTCGAACCCGCGGGCTCAGGCCAGCCACTCACCTCGGCCTCCCAAGGCGCGGGATGACGCGACTGAGTGAGCCCCTGGGCCCGGCGGATTCGGTCGTGATGGACGCCTTCATGAGATTCCGTCTGTCTTGAGATTCTGTCTTGATGGACGCCTTGTTGAGATTCTGTCTGTCTTGTTGGATGCCTGGAGTTTCTGTCTCGATGGATGCCTGGATGGGGTTGTGACTGTCTTGACGGGATTCCGTCTGTCTTGACGGGATTCCGTCCGTCTTGACGGGATTCCGTCCGTCTTGACGGGATTCCGTCCGTCTTGACGGGATTCCGTCCGTCTTGACGGGATTCTCGTCTTGATGAACACCTTGTTGAGATTCCGTCTTATTGGATGCCTGGAGTTTCTGTCTCGATAGATGCCTGGATGGGGTTGTGACTGTCTTGATGGGATCCTGTCTCGATGGATGGATGGATGCCTTGAGTTTCTGTCTCGATGGATGCCTGGATGAGACTGTCTGTCTTCGTGGAAGCCTTGATGAGATTTTGTCTCGATGGATGCCTTGTGGAGATTCTGACGGTCTTGATGGAAGCCTCAGTGAGATTCTGTCTTGATGGATGCCTTGATGGGATTCTGCCTGTCTGGATGGGATTCTGTCTTCTTAGATGTCTTGATGGGATTCTGACTGTCCTGACGGATGCCTTGGGTTTCTGCCTCGATGGATGCCTGGGTGGGGTTGTGACTGTCTTGATGGGATTCTGTCTCGATGGATGCCTTGATGAGACTCTGTCTGTCTTCGTGGAAGCCTTGAAGAGATGTCTCGATGGATGCCTTGTGGAGATTCTGACGGTCTTGATGGAAGCCTTGACGGGATTCCGGCTGTCTTGACGGACGCCTTGATGCGATTCTGGCTGTCTTGACAGATGGCTTGATATTTTGACTGCCTTGATGGACGCCTTGACGAGATTCCAGCTGTCTTGACGGATGCCTTGACGGGATTTTGGCTGTCTTGACGGACGCCTTGAAGGGATTCTGGCTGTCTTGACGGATGCCTTGATATTTTGACTGCCTTGATGGACGCCTTGATGGGATTCCGACTGTCTTGGTGGATGCCTTGATGGGATTCCAGCTGTCTTGACGGACGCCTTGATGGGATTCCGGCTGTCTTGATGGACGCCTTGACGGGATTCCGGCTGTCTTGACGGACGCCTTGATGGGATTCTGTCTGTCTTGGTGGATGCCTGGATGGGATTCTGGCTGTCTTGACGGACGCCTTGACGGGATTCCGGCTGTCTTGACGGACGCCTTGACGGGATTCCGGCTGTCTTGACGGACGCCTTGACGGGATTCCATCTCGATAGCAATCTACGGGGGAGCGTTCCAGCGTGAAGCCTGGAGCCAAGGGAAGTCCCACCCGTGGCCCGCCATGACGGGTCGCGCCTTCCCGCACACCTGTAGAGTCACGTCACGGGGGCTGGAGTTTTTCTCGGTTTCCAGCCACGTGTCCCGTGGGGATCTACCCGGGCTGCCTCCCCGCTCCCTCGGGTGCGTGTCACTGCGTGTGCGTGTGGGCGGGTTTCACAGGTGGCTTTGGGTGGCGGCCAGCGGGTGTTGGGGACGCCGTCCTGTCTCGGGGCCGGCTCTTCCGCTGTGGGCCCACTGCCGCGGTTGCCAGGGCTCCCGGCTCACGGGGGGCTTCCTGGAGCTTCGGGCCACCCTCCTCTTCCGCCCTCCTTCCTTCCTTCCTTCCATCTGCGTCTGTCTCTTTCTCGTCTCTGACTCACTGTCTTCTCTGTCTCTCTGTTTCTGTGTCTCTCTGTCTTTCTGTCTCTGTCTCTGGTTCTGTTTCTGTGTCTCTCTGTCTCTTCTCTGTCTCTGTCTTTTTCTCTCTCTGTCTGCCTCTGTATCTCTCTCTGTGTCTCTCTCTGTCTCTTGCTCTCTCTGTCTCTGTCTGTCTCTTTCTGTCTCTTTCTGTCTCTTTCTGTCTCTGTCTCTCTGTATCTGTCTCTTCTCTCTCTCATTCTCTCTGTCTCTTTCTCTGTTTCTGTGTCTCTCTGTCTCTCTCTGTCTCTGTCTCTGTTTCTCTCTGTCTCTTCTCTGTCTTTTTCTCTTTCTCTCTGTCTCTCTGCCTCTGTATCTCTCTGTCTGTTTCTCTGTCTCTTTGTGTCTCTGTCGTGCTCTCTCTTTCTGTCTCTCTGTGTCTCTTTATCTCTCTCTGTCTCTCTCTGCCTCTGTATCTCTCTCTGTGTCTCTCTGTCTCTTTCTCTGCCTCTATCTCTCTCTGTCTTTTTCTTTCTGTCTCTTTGTGTCTCTGTCTTTCTCTCTGTCTCTTTGTCTCTTCTCTCGTTCTCTCTGTCTCTTCCTCTGTTTCTGTGTCTCTCTTTCTGTCTCTGTCTCTCTGATTCTGTTTCTGTATCTCTCTGTCTCTTCTCTGTCTCTGTCTTTTTCTCTCTGTCTGCCTCTGTATCTCTCTCTGTGTCTCTCTCTGTCTCTTGCTCTCTCTGTCTCTGTCTGTCTCTTTCTTTCTGTCTCTGTCTCTCTGTATCTGTCTCTTCTCTCTCATTCTCTCTGTCTCTTTCTCTGTTTCTGTGTCTCTCTGTCTCTCTCTGTCTCTGTTTCTCTCTGTCTCTTCTCTGTCTCTGTCTTTTTCTCTTTCTCTCTGTCTCTCTGCCTCTGTATCTCTCTCTGTCTGTTTCTCTGTCTCTTTGTGTCTCTGTCGTTCTCTCTCTTTCTGTCTCTCTGTGTCTCTGTCTCTCTATCTCTCTCTGTCTCTCTCTGCCTCTGTATCTCTCTCTGTCTCTTTGTGTCTCTGTCTTTCTCTTTCTCTCTCTCTCTCCGTATCTCTGTCTCTCTGTCTCTCTCTTTCTATCTCTGTCTCTCTCTGTCTCTCTGCCTCTGTATCTCTCTGTGTCTCTCTGTTTCTCTGTCTCTGTGTCTCTGTCTTTCTCTCTGTCTCTCTGTCTCTCTCTCTCTGTCTCTGTATCTCTCTGTGTGTCTCTGTTTCTCTCTCTGTCTGTGTCTCTTTCTCTTTCTGTCTCTCTGTCTCTGTATCTCTGTGTCTCTCTGTCTCTCTTTTTCTCTCTATCTCTCTGTCTCTCTCTGTCCCTCTTTCTCTCTCTCTGTATCTCCATCTCTCTGTCTCTTTCTCTGTCTATGTCTCTCTCTGTCTCTTCTCTCTCTCGTTCTCTCTGTCTCTCTGCCTCTGTATCTCTCTCTGTGTCTCTGTTTCTCTCTGTCTCTGTGTCTCTGTCATTCTGTCTCTCTGTCTCTGTATCTCTGTGTGTCTCTCTCTGTCTCTCTCCTTTTCTGTCTCTCTATCTCTCTCTGTCCCTCTGTCTCTGTATCTCCATCCCTCTGTTTCTTTCTCTGACTTTGTCTCTCTCTGTCTCTTCTGTCTCTCTCATTCTCTCTGTCTCTTTCTGTCTCTGTCTCTGTATCTCTGTGTGTCTCTCTCTGTTGCTTTCTCTCTATCTCTGTCTCTCTCTCTGTCTCTGTCTCTCTGTCTCTCTCACATCTCTCTAAAATCCCAGAACTCCGGCCGCTCCACGCGGGCGCGTCCCTTCGCGGCGACCGCGGCCTCGAACCCACGCCCGGACGCCTTCTCCGTGGCCG